TTTCACATGTATGTAGTTTGTTTAAAGCGTAAATATTAATATATGTGTTTTTTGCCTTTACAACCTCCTTAAACATGTTTAATGTCCGCGAAAGGCACTTCTAAGGAAGGATATGAGACGCTGACCGATTTTAAAGAGTTCTATTAGTATTTTATGATACTTTCCGTCTAACTCTACATATATCCTAACGTTTTCGAAGAGTACTGATGATATAAATTATTTGTTAATTTTTTAAATAATTTTTAACGTCACAGATAGGCGCTTTTCAAGGAATATGTGTGAGACGTTGGTCGATTTCCGTCAGTTTTGTGAGGTTTATGGTGCTTATGGTGTAGTTCTGAATGTATTCTAATGTTTTCCGTAAAGTTCTGATATAAACCGTTTGTTAATTTTTTATACAATTTTTATCGTCCTAAAAAGACGCTTTTCAGGCAATATGTGTGAAACGCTGGTCGATTTCCGACAGTTCTGTGAGGATTATGGTTTAAAAAATTAACAAATGATTTATATCATCGAAACTCTTCGGAAAATGTTAGGCTACATTCAGAACGATAAGCACCATATATCTCATAACACTGTCGGTAATTGGCCAGCGTATCACATATATATACCCTAAAAAGTACGTCTATAAAGCTGGACCCCCCACCATCGAAAATAAAGTTCGGAATAGGTAAAAAATTTAGTGCTTTTTAGATGTTAATTTAGTATTACGAATTTTAGTGCTCAAACTGTTTAGTAGCAAAAATGGGGGGTCCAGCTTTATATAAAAATATAGAAAAAATATATACAGAGCTCGTATAGAAAAACTAAGTACACAGGGATTTTAGTGCTAATTTAGTGCTCCAAAATAGACCAAAATATTTTCAATTATGGCGTTACTTTAAATATATCAACATTTTAAGTACTGCACTGTAGTATACGTTCGGAAAGAGCGCGCGCCTCGTTCCTCGGTCGTCGAAGAATTTGATGCTCGCAAGATATTGGTATTAAAATGTTCCTTAGACATCGTAGTATTAAAATATATGCATTTCCGATTTTATTGCTAACTTAAAGTGACTGAAAATAATTAAGAAGTCGCGAAAGAGCGGGCGCCGCGCTTTAAAATTCGTTCCAGTTACAGTAACGATCCAGTTACAGTAAAGATACATGTTCGTTACAGTTACGATAAACACCCAAATGGCGTTTATACAAATAAAAAACACAACTTAACATCAAAATCTGCAGAGTAAATATTCCAATGATTATGTGCGATATCCAAATGGTGTTGACACCCAAATAGTGTTGACACCATTTGAGTGATTAAACTGTAATTTTTTTATGTTTCTTTGGTGTCATTTTTGATGTCTTTTTCTGGCGTTAACGCCTAAATGGTTTAAACGCTGTTTGAATATCCGAAAATACGCTATTCTCTATTGGTGTTTTTTTGGGTGTTTTTTGGTGTTATTTTGAATGTTTTTTTCGTAAGGAAAATCTCACAGAACTGTTGGTAATCGGTTTGCGTCTCACACATATTCCCCGAAAAGCACCTTTCCCGGTGATAAAAATTGTTTAAAAAATTGTTTAACAAATAATTTATATCATCAGAACTCTTAGAAAAGCGTTAGGATACATGTAGAGCTAGACGGAAAGTACCATAAAACTAACAGACCTCTTTAGAATCGGCTAGCGTGTCATATCTTTCCCCTTAGAAGTGCCTTTCTCAGAATAATTTTTTAAATATTATTTAAAAAATTATTATATTAAATAGAGTAAATATGTTCAGAACTCTTCGGAAAGTGGCAGGATACATTTAGAACTGTACGGAAAGTACTATAAAACTAACAGAACTCTTTAAAATCAGACAGCGTCTCATCTTCGTTCC